GTGTGTGTGTAGTTGTATATGCCTGTAGAAGCGAAGAATTAAGTTAATCTTCAAACACTTTTCTACAAATTTCAGTAATTATTATTCATTTGAGTATTATTTTTTATCTGTTAGAAGTTGACGTAATTTCAGTCTAGATTGTATTCCGCCTTTAATATTGTTTAATTATTTCCCTCGATTTTAGCTCTGTTGAGTGAGGGCGAAACCGGTCGGCTGCGTTTGTTTTATTTTTTTTTTTTTTATCGGGGAAAAGAGTAAAATTTTTTATTTCCATAATAAAATTCTCTACCTTACCGAAAATTATGAAATATATATTTATAGAGAGACACGGAGTGTGTAAGGAAAATGAATGTCGAAAGGAGAAGTTAAATAATAATATGAAAATAGACTCAGGCACCGAGATGGTTGAACATTGTAAATGGATTTTAAATATTATTACTCATTAAGAATATTTTTCCAATCAGGGTGAATAGGCTCTTGAAAATTCCCAGGATAGACTGATAAATAAAAGACGTTATTACACATTTAAAATAGTCTCGTATTTTGAAAGATTCCCGGAGGACATATCGACCAATACGTTATGATAAAGAAATGCAACAAACGGAATTATTGGAACAATGAAAATAGTTCATTTAAGAACTTCAGAAAAAAATGACTAGATTAAATCGTCTGCAATTTATTACTGCAAAATTATGCTAATGCCGTTGTCTACTCATGCATTTTCGTATCTATTTTCCGCGCCATACGGATTAGTTTGAAGAAGATTAAAACTCATTCAATTTACATTTAGAAACCCGTCTTCTGTCTCTAAAACAACAAAACACCGTCTCTTTATTCGAACAGCTTAACGTCAACTACATGACAAAGAAAAATAACTGTAATTCTAAAAGATACTATAGTGAAATTTTACATTGTTTAGCACAAGGCCACGGTTGTTGATACACAGTAGCGATCGAATTCTCTGACTTGGCATAAAAAAAAAAAAAAAAAAACAAGAATTAAGAAGATAGAAGATAACGTTTGACATTGCACGTAAATTTTGAAGATCAAAGTTGACAGGGGACCTAGATGCCGGAAGAAAATTCCAGAATCGAAGAGTGCGATAGCATAGAAACAATATTTACATTTCGTCATTTCAACTATAAATTGATGAGACCTAACCGCCCGTCTAGTACTGCGCTTAAATTCATAAAGTCTGTCTACCATAGAGGAAATTTCATCAGAACAATTATCGTGAAAGTATTTACAAAAAAAAAAAAAGTACAGGGAAGCTACGTTACGGCGGTCAGAAAGTAACTTAAACCGAGATGCCAGGTCAAGACCCATAACATTACAGATTCTTCTCTGGATTTTATCAAACACCTCGTAATATAGAACAGGAGCACCAGTTACTCATGTCCTATGTGAGAGGGCATTTTCAAAGCGAAAGGTCATAAAGACAAAGTTAAGAAATTCGCTGTCTAATGAGGATTTTGGAATCATACATGTTGTTATCCATTGAAAAGGAATTGTTAGATTAATTGGATGCTGTATAACCCATTAGAAGCTTCGCACAATTAGCGAGTCAGCCCAAATGATTGCTTTTAATATAATGGATCGCATGCAATGCATTATTGTGCTTTTGAATTATTTGTTAATGTGGGAATTGTGCTGTAAACTATTTAAAAACAACAACCAATTACTTAAAATCAAATCAAAAAAAAAAAAAAAAATACAATTCTGTTTTTACATTTGGCATCTACTGTCAATACTATGTACAACACTGTAATTATTAAAAACATAACTGTATCCTTTTATTAGTTTGTATATTTTGAAACTCTTATTTATTCGTTATAAAAAATAAATGATAACATTCTAGTTGTGGATAGACCCCTTTGTCTCCTGGCAAGGAATATGTTTAAACCCAGTTCACCAAAATTATATGATAGATATCTTGCATCATGTTAGAATGCTCTAATTCAGTCAAATGCGGATGCTCGACTTAGCAGTAATACCATAAAAAGGTAAAAAAATCTCTGATCAGTATTTTAATTCTGTCATGATATATAACTACACAGTTAATATTTGCTTTATCTTTTATTAAAATATCTAATGATATCAGTTAGTTATCAAGCGGTGTTAATGCTAAGTGTCAATAGACCTCCATAAATGTTCGGTTGGATTGAACGCTTCTGAAAGCAATTCTAGTGAAAATTGGACTGAAACACATGTTGCATTATCCTGAACTCTAGTACAGTGATTCCTCGTTTATCGCGGTAGATTGGTTCCAAGACCGGCCGCGATAAGCTGAATTGCCGCGAAGTAGGGACGCCATATTTACAGTATTTATTTAACATGTATTTGAACTTTTAAAACCCTCCCTATACTATTAACAACCCACCCATTACAGTACTCTATTAATAACAAGGACAACTGTTAAACAATAACACTTTAGATTACAAAAAAAGATAATGATTGTTACTCTTTTCAACACGAAAGAAGTAGAATTTGAATGATAATGGTGATGAAGCTGATGATGACTTCTACTGTGCAGACGATAATTGTATTTTACGTCTCTTCAGACGGCGGTACCCTTTCTATTGCTATTTTACGCTTGTTTTGTTGTTCCTAGACCAGGAAAATATTATTTATTATTAATATTTTAATATATCGTGATTTTTCTAGAATTTTCCAGAAACTCCGCGATATATTTTCCATATATATATTTTAAAAATCCGCGATGTCGTGAATCCGCGTTAGTACAACCGCGAATTAGCGAATTGAGTGGCTGGATATTCGTCTTGTACCTACTGCATTATTATTATTATTATTATTATTATTATTATTATTATTATTATTATTATTATCCTCCTCCTCCTCCTCCTCCTTCTTCTTCTTCTTCTTCTTCTTCTTCTTCTTTCTCTTCTTTGTCCCGTGTCCCTCCAGAACGTGTGTGATAATGGCTTTCCATATTTACCTGTCATTTGTAGCCCTTAGTAAGTTTTTTTTTCTATCTCTTCTAATCCCTGTTCTCTTAACCATTGCACAAGCTTATTTCTTAGGTTATTTCTTACGCTACCCCCCCGTTCCTTTTGCATTTAGTGTCATGTGAATGTCAAATTCCCTAAGCCTTCTTTCTCCATTATATGACTTAGAAATTTCAATTACTTCTGATTCTATATGTAAGTGTCCTTTTTGTTTCTATTTCCCCTAGAACTTCATCGTTGCCCACGTGGTCATGGTATTCACAGCATCCTTCTGTAGAACGACATTTCTTTTGCCTCAGATCTTTTCTTCATATATGATGAAATTGTTCAAAATTCACTGCCATATAGCAGGACGGATATTTCATGATAGTTCCGTATTCAATTTTTATATTTTCATGTTTCTTAATACTTTGCTTAGCTTTCAGAAAGCAATTTACGCTATCCTATTTTGCCTTCAGCTTGCGGTGCCGCATTTTCCATCCTCCGTTAAAACACTTGCTGGATAATTAAATGTTTTTATTTGCTTGATTTTGGCGCCTCCCATTCGTAGTTCGCATGTTTGGCTGTCCTTTTTGCTGACAACCATACACTCTGTCTTGCTACAACTTATGTTTACTCCTTTATTTTCGCTTTCCTTTATTACTTTCTGCAGGAGTTGTCGTAATTTTCCTCCATTTTTTTTTTTGCTATCAGCACCGTGACATCTGCATATCCAGTGTCGTTCAGATTGTGGCAATAAAGAATCCTGGTAGGATTTCTAAATCTCTCAGGATCCCTCAGGCAATCACATCTGATCACAATTTAAAACACGTGGTTGGCCTCTGAGCTGCCAACGTTGTGGTGGTAATGCCTTCCAGCAGATATTCAAATTGGGGGATATCAAATATACTCACAATGTCAGAAGTATACTATCTCATCCTGCAGGCATCCACTATCATTGTAAAGATACAACTGGTCTTTCCTCGACCACATAAATCACCTTGTGTTTTTATTATTTTTTCGTTGGTATACACGCAACCGAGAAAGGCCGTGTGTTCGGTTCACAATGGGAAGGATAGTTTAAATAATGGCACGTCGATAGATAAAAAAAAACCCCCAAAAACCCACATGAATCCTGCTTCTATTTAGTTTTATAATCAGGCATTCACATGTACAGTCTGGAGTGGTAGTTACATGACACTTGGGGCAACTTCTCTCACCTGAGACTAACGGATAACAGTTTTTCTCTTCGGTTAGCTAGGTCTCTTTCATGCTACCCATCTCTCGCGACTCACACACGGTTGGCTTGAATCTACTCCTTAAAGGGAATCATCGGAACACTCTGCCCATTTCAACACTAACTCTGTTAATATCAATCTGCGATAGGATCTTTCTACATTCCGGTGATGTGTCACTCTTTCATGAAAGTTTCCATTTATTTATCTAGTTATTTTATTCTCATTTCGGCAAATGGATGACTACATAGAAGTTCATACATTTTAGACGTTACTGCTGGTCATAAAAAAAAAGATAAAAATCAAAACAGAACATCAGGCTCAGATGAAATTAATTACTGTACACTTCCAGATGAGTGTCACGATCCAGTCATGCAGTAGAGCTGTTTCGATAATTCACGTTGCTTTTCTAAAGGTCTAGCAAGCCCGCTATAGATTCGATATATAGAATTGTTTGTGGACTGACAAATCGCCATTTCCTTTACAAACTTCTTCTTGATGACTTTTGGTATGTCATGAAAAGTATATATAGCAGTCTTTTTGTTAATTTTGTTTCCGTTTCTCTTTTTCATTGATCTCTGTCTATCTTGTTTTCTCGTTATTTTTTTTTCTTTCTTTTTTTTTTCTCATTTTGTTTCTCCGTTTAATCTGGCTAAGAGCTACAAAATAAAAATACTTAGGATCGAACTCACTATCTCGAACTGAAGGCAGCTAAATTAGTGGATAAGCTTTATGGCAGGCGCCCAATTTAAATATTTATTTGCTTACTCTATTTCTGGACTGCAAAGGTAAAGAGCACATTGAATATCGAAATCGCATCATGATCAATATATTTGTTCGCTCTGAGCATGTAGGGGGTCTTAAACATACCCCACTAGCTACGTTTTTTGAAATTAACTTTCTCACTATCTTTCTCTGGCGGGCAACTCAAGATATTATACCATAAAAGAATAAGCACGCGAAATAAGAGAAGTTTTTTTTTTTCTTTTTCCGAGAGCCTCGACCTCTTGTTGTGCCAGAGGAAGGTCGTCAAAAAACGCTCATTTTGAAAATCATTTCACTCTCTTCTCTCTCATCTCCATTCGAACTTTTTCTGCTTCGACTGACCTTCGTGCTTGACTGGCCGCAGTAACACATTTGGTGCTGTCGAAAATGAAATCTTTATTGAAGGTTTTGCCATTTCTTAGCCAGCCGCGTCTCATTTTTACCATGACAACATTTTTCATTGACTTTTTTAAAATGTAGACAATTTATGTTCACACTATCTCTTCGGAATTTTCTTTGGAATTTTGCAAATATTTGCCGCATTTTTGTAAATATTTGCTGTCTTTTCTCTTTTTTCCTTCTTTCTTCTTTTATGGAGGCTTTTGACATTTTTTCATTCTTTATTGTCTTTGGTTTTTAATCTCGTATCTGTCTCTTGTTCATATCGATTTCATTTCTAATTATGTTTTTGTTGATCTTTTTTCTATTTCTAAATATTCTTATCTCTTTCTTTCTTTTTTCTTTCTTTTTTCTTTCTTTCTTTTTATTTCTTTCTTTGCTCATTTTGTTTATCTCTTTCCCTTTTTCCTTGTTTTTCTTTTACCATTTTGTTTTCTCGCTTCTTTCTTTGTTTTTTTTCTTCCTTGTTCTTTCATTATTTGCTCAGTTTCTTTTCCCTCTTTCATAGTCTTATTATCTCCTTTAATTCATTTGTTCTTTCTTTCTTTCTTCATTTTTTTTCTCTCATTGTTCTTTCTTTATTTTGCATTGTTCTTTCTTTCTTTGCTCATTTTGGTCTTTCTTTCTTTTTTTCTTTCTTTTTTCTTTCTTTTTTCTTTATTGTTTCTGTCTTTGTTAATTTTTTTCTGTTTCCCTTTGTCATTGTTCTTTGTCATTGTTCTTTGTTTTCTCGCTATTCTTTTTCTTTCTTTCTTTTTTGCTCACTTTGTTCCTCCCTTTTCTTTTCTTTTCTTTATTATTCGTTTTTTGGCCATTTTGCTTTCGAGCCTTCCCTTTCTTTCTTTCTTTTCTTTCTTTCTTTCTTTCTTTTCTTTCTTTCTTTCTTTCTTTCTTTCTTTCTTTGTTAAATTTGTTTCTTTCTTTGTTAATTTTGTTTCTTTCCCTTTTTCATTGTGCTTTTTTGTCCATCTGGTTTTCTAGCTTTACCTTTCTTTTTTTCCTTTTGTCCATCTTATTTTCTCATTCTTTCTTTCTTTCTTTCTTTCTTTCTTTCTTTCTTTCTTTCTTTCTTGCTTTTTTTCTTTCTTTCTTTCTTTCTTTCTTTCTTGTTTTTTGTCTGTTACTTGTTCTTTCTTCCTTTGTTCGTCTAGTTTCCCCTCCTTTTTGTTAATTTTTCTTTTTTTTATTGCTTCTTAACTTTTAGTTTTTCTTTCCCTCATTTTCCCCTTCGTATTTTTTCATTCATTTCCTTCACCTTTGCCGTGTTCATTGTTTTCCGTTATCTTTCTTTTGACATCATTCTTCTCCCGTGATTCTTTTTTATTCTTTTTATATCACAGAATTAATTGCCTCTCGACTTTTATGACCGTTAATATTTTTACGGTTACTTACATCGACGAAATTTCTTTTCTTCTTTTTTTTATTTACTTTCTTGCCTATTAGTTATCTTGCCCCTGGCTTTCTTATTTTACTTTCCTTCCTTCCTTCCTTCCTTCCTTCCTTCCTTCCTTCCTTCCTTCCTTCCTTCTTACCTACCCAGAATCCTCTACCATCTGCTTCAGTCTTCTTTTTGCGTTTGTTCCCAAACTGTCATATTGATTAATTCTGCTATAGACTTTCTTCAAGAGTCAGTAACCCACAAAAAGCTGGAAAAAATAGTAAAAAAAAAAAAATGTTTAAATGAAAATGACCACGACTGTTCCAAACGTTGTCAGCAGCAACGCCTTCATCGCGAAAAAACGTGGTAAACGAGAAATCATCTTTATTGAAGAAAGAGTTCACGATCCCTGGTGAAAGGGGAGATAATTTAATTAAAATTTTCCATGCGATGGCCAACATTCAGAAGGTCAAAGAAAAAGAAAGAAATTATTTGATGGTAAAGCAAAGAAATGAATAGAATCAACGCAGCCACCAAAGTCAATTTGTGATTTAATATCGAATAGGTTGTTAATTTGCTTGCTTTAATAAAACAATTAGCTCGCAGATAAACTAATTTTTGATTTGAGCGCTTTGATGATCAATTGGTTTGTACAACAAAATGAACTTTTAGAATCATTTTCTTTTCAAGATATGAGAGTTTCTTTTTCTTTGTCTTCTTCTTCTTCTTTTCAAGATAGAGTTTCTTCTTCTTCTTTTCAAGGTATGAGCTTCTTCTTCTTCTTTTTCTTCTTTTCAAGATATGAGAGTTTCTTCTTCTTTTCAAGATATAAGAGTTTCTTCTTCTTCTTCTTCTTCTTCTTCTTCTTCTTCTTTTCAAGATATGAGAGTTTCTTCTTCTTCTTCTTCTTCTTCTCCTTCTTCTTCTTATCAAGATATGAGTTCTTTCTTCTTCTTCTTCTTTTCAAGATATGAGAGTTTCTTTTTCTTCTTCTTCTTCTTCTCTTCTTTTCAAGGTATGAGTTTCTATTCTTCTTCTTCTTCTTTTCAAGATATGAGTTTTTTCTTCTTCTTCTTCATTTCAAGGTATGAGTTTCTTCTTCGTCCTCTTATTTTTCAGATATGAGAGTTTCTTCTTCTTTTCAAGATGAGAGGTTCTTCTTCTTCTTCTTCTTCTTCTTCTTCTTCTTCTTCTTCTTCTTCTTCAGTAGTTTGTTTCTGTGCTTATTACGTGGCGTATCTTGGGCGTATTCACCTGGCGGAGTCCAACACTCCCCCTGTTAGACCACAGCCAACTAGGTGGTTCCCCTTGGTTGCGAATACGTGGCCGTTTTATTTCATCTGAGGAACTCTTCCGCCCTGGCCAGTGACCGGAGTTGAGGAGTCCCACTGGGGCCGTTAACACCACTCTGTCACGAGAGTTTAGATCGCCAGTTGAAATCTCAAATGGTATTGAAAATGGCAACAGGCATTTCTCGATAAAACATTACTAGTTATATTTGCGAGCCTGCGTAAGCTGTGAATATGAAAGATTTTACAAGCATAGTATAGAACCCTGACAGTTTTATTTTTTGTCCAGATATTAGATCAAATTTTTATTTGTTTTAAAAAGATTATGCAGTATAAAAATCGTTAATGGTCTTTTTTACAATTATGTTCATTTTGTACAAGGCCCAAGAGCCACCTGAGGTAGAGAGTTACAGAGCTCTGGCACTCGGTCACTCTGAATGGCGTGCTCCGCAGCTATTCTAAATTACTCTCGCCTATTGTGAACGGTGGACACTTTTTTTATTCAGATAATCGCGCGCCCTCTAGCGATTTTAATAGTTCTAGCTTCAAGGACGATCACTCAGCAAAACTTATTAAAACGTTAATCGCAATTCACGTTCGATTATTATTTGCGATAGATTATAATTTATTTCTAATAATTCTTTTGCAATAACATCGGCAACGCCATTGTTCTTATCACTTAATTCTTTTTCCTTCAAACGGTGTACGTAATTTTAGAGAAAACATTGTTTCTTTTTTCCCTATAGTCTCTGAATCATTCGGAATAAAAACGATGAGATATCTATAAATTTAAAAACAATAACCGCCATAAGCACACAATAGGAATAGATATTATATATTTAGATCGGTAGGAGTAGATTGGTTCACCTATTTCTCAAATTCACACGCGCCCCCCCACCCCGATTTTTTAAATAGGAGGAGAGGTTTGTCTTATTTTCATGTTTGCGATGACTCCTAAAGTCTTCTTAATTTTCCAGTAGCCCCTTGCGTCTAATGGCATTATCGGCTTGCTAAGGGCGAATTGGTTAAAAAATAGTTGTAATATTGAAAATACCGTAATTCCCCATGTATAAAACGCATTTTTTCTAAAAAATAATAATCAAAATCAGGGGTGCGTATTATGCACAGCTACAAAATATCTTTAAAAATTTGCCGTAAAATAAAATAAGAATTATCATAAAACTAAATTAGGATATTATTCTATGCTTAAACCTATTTTTAAAAAAAATAAGAATAGGGAACGCTGGTCGTAATGAAATTGGAGAGGTACAATTTATAGGGTTTGATTACCAAACATAGGGTTGCGTATTATGCATGAGTAGAAGTATTTTTCCACACTTTCAGTACAATTTTAGGTGTGCGTATTATGGACGAAGGCATATTATACATGGCGAATTACGGTAATACATATCTAAATAACAATTAATGCTAAATGACAGAATTAATATTAATACGAAGAAGTGAAGATAATCTGTATTTTAACACGCTCTGCGCCAAAAGGTTTAAATTACTTAAATCCCCCTTTTGGAATGTTCCGCTTGTTTTCATTTTGTCCTCTTTTCCTTACAGAACCAGATTTCCAGAATTTCATTTTATTTTATTCAATTTTTCTTTTGACGTCATGGAAGTCTTGATTGGATTATTCTGCTCTACGCCAGTCAGCCAAATATAAATGATGTTGCTGGATATTTTTTTTTTAACTCTAATTGTTTGCGAAGAGAGGTTAAATAATAATTTTGGAAATGTATATTTTGTTTTGATCACAATATTTCGCGTCTTTTTTTCCAGGATTCCAAATGCTAATAAGTTAAAGTCAATTACAGTTCTCATTGTAAATATTTCAGTAATTACTTTGGATAAGCCCCGTACTTTTGTTTGTTTTGTCATAACAATGTTTCAGGTTTGATATTCTCTTTTTAAGTCATCTTGTCTTAATATTGACTACTTTAAACAGACCAGGAAGCTTTCTCAATTTTCTGATATATGACATGATTAATTTTAATGATTTTTAATGATTCTTTTGAGACATCATTCTGTTCTCTGGTTTTTCTTTTGTGATAATGTCTAGGTTGATACATTTTCTTTTAAAGATTTCCTACATTTGTGTTAAGAAGAATATGTTTTCCTGATTTTCTTCTATTTTTATACGCTTTAGAAAATTTTTTTTTTTTTTAAAATAACAAAAAGAAAAAAATAGCAATTTAAAGAAAACTTGTCAAGACTGCAGGAATAGGAAATAAAGTACACAAGATACTTTCATAAAAAAGTTAAAAATTCAAATATTAAATTTGATTATTAAAGTTCCGATATTTGATTTGAAACAATGTTGAAATTCATAGGAATAAGATTAGCGTTAAAAAATGTATCTTCAAAATTAAAAAAAAAATAAATAAAATTTAGCTCACTACTCTACAAATAAAGTTTTCCTTGAAGATTTTAAAAAATGTTCTTGGAGGAAGAGACTATTTGTAGAGAAGTGAGGTAAATTTTAATTAGGCAAATTTTTGTGTTTCAGGTGATCATGACTCTCCACAACTTCCCATCCTTTCTTGCCCTCAATATCTTTTGTACTTTCCTTTTTTTTTACATTTTTCTACTATTCATTAACATAAAATACTTAAGTAGTTTGCACGTTTTTACTTGTTAAACAGGTTAGAAGTTTTTTTTTACTTTTTTTTTTCTTAGCGTTTCACCCCAAGCAAGACGGGAAGCCACTAGCACGCAAGGGGTTACAGAGAGTTGAAGTGAGACGAAATAGGAGTGATAGAGGAAAGGATGAAGAGAAGGATAGGGGATAGATCAAGGTATCTGGAGACGTCGATTGATATTACATTTGAATATTTGGAGATAGTTGGAGCTCTCAGGGAAACAGGAAAAGGGGAGGGAGTTCCACAGGCGAGAGGTGCGAGACATGAAGCTATTGGAGTAGAAGAGACGGCTACATTTTTAACAGTTTCGACAGTGAAAGGATGAGAGTGAGATGCCAGCCTAGTAGCATATTTAAATTCATGAAATCTGGGAACCAACGAAAGCAGCTCACCAGAGCAGTTACTTATTCGCTTTTATTTGTTGCTTACGTAGGTTAAATGTTTTTTTATTTGTTCCTTAAATATGTTTCTCGTTTTTATAAGGCCCTCATGGAGGTTACTCGTTTTTTTTACACCTGTATAATAAATTTGCAATAATTCCTCGGATTAACATCCATCCGCATCTTCATCTTATCACAACGTTTCTCCTCCACTTCATTGATCTATCAAGGAGCTGAAGTTAACCAGAATTTTCAGTCTGAATTTCTCAGTAGGTTTTTGGATTGGTTCCTGATATTTGTAAACAGCACGCACCCAGCCACCGAAAACTGGTATAGCTGATGTTACATGGCGAGAAAATAGAGGAATTATCTTTGAGTTTAAAACTGAAAATAGTACTTTTATCCTAATTACTACACTGATCATAAGCAGAAGGGTTGATTCATATGTGAATAAACCTATTATCTTCAAAAAGCACTTCGTTAAGTTCAAATGCTTTTTGAAAAAAAATCAGTGGTTATAAAAGTCGGAATTAATGAAACGAAAAAGAATGTGGGAGACACAAATAGATACAAATAAAAAAAAAGCACACATATTAATGAGAGCGCAAAGGGAAACCGTGGAAAATGAATTAAGCGAAGAACGAATTAAGGATAAAAAGAAAAGAAGAAACATAAAAGAAAACAGAAGTCGATGTTAGGCGTTAAGTATTTCTTTTATCAAATGGTTTCGATGATATCAATTTTAATCATTAATGATTACGTAAATGTGATTAACGCGTATTAACATCGCCAAATATTTAAGGAGCGTTCCTTGTTCTCGCTTGCAAGTCATTTCCTGAGAGAAACGAGCTACTCGATAGGATGCAGAAGAAATGGCCGAGGAAATGAGTCGGCAGCCGTCGGAGAAAATAGAAGTCTGATGTGTCTTTTATGCTCATTTGGCAACACGACAATGGCTGGTTTACAAAATATGAATAAAATAGAATTAATGAGGTCAACTTGATACAGTTTGGATGTGGTTCACTGCCGAACAAGAGGACGAATAAGTGAAATACATTACATCAACTTATACGCCAAATATGGATAAAGTAGCAGAGTAGACTGGGGTCTTTAGCTTTAGGTGGCAGTCAATATAAATGAAGAATCTCTCTATGTTTCTGAGATGAGATATTATGTATGCTATTTACATTATTCGGACTATCATCCTCATCTTTGTCGCTATATATATCACAACGTTTAAGCCGTTGTACGCTTTGGCCTCCTTCAGTATCTGTCTATATTTCAGAGATGCGGTATTATGTACACTACTTACATTATTCGGACTAATGGTGCTGAAGACATTACGTTTATAATACCCAGAAATTCATACACAGATGCCCTCAAGAACACACGGCACAGTGGATGTATCGAAAGATACATGATCGCCTAAGCGTGTATCACGCATGACACAACTAACTGATAGATTCTGACGAGAAAAAATTGACTAGCACGATAAAGTGAAAGAGCTTTCTAGCAAACGATTCAAGATACTCTTTCCAGTACATGTCAGCTGAAAACGTTAGTCTGGGGTTAGAATCAGTCATGCTGATGGAAGATAAAAAGGGTTCTCTCAGCAGAGGACAGTTTCGTTTTTGAGGTGTTAAAATTAACAAGCCGATTTGTTAGATTTGAGGTCATTTTATTGTTCGATTTGAGGTCAGCTGCCAATTTTAGGTCAGTTGCCAATTTGAAATTCTCGAGCCGATTAGACTTATTACTAAGAGAAGAGTAAATAGTTGCGTCCTCAGCATAGACATTGGATTGAGAACAGATGACATCAGGAAGGTCATTTTTGAAAATTCAAAACAACATACGTCTAAGGATAAGAGGACTCGGCATCAGGTGCATTTATGCAAAAGGTCTAGAAGCTTAAAACAAACAATAAAGAATAATCATTAATTCTTCCAAAGAAGATTTCTATATTTTCATGCAACAGAAAGGCTTAAAAAAGTACCAAACCAAACCAAAATAATACACATATATTTACTATTCTGAATGGCTAAATCTGTATCTATATATAAGAAATGAGCAAGGTCGTAGCAACAAAACACCATACTACTGTTGTCTTCCGCGAAACAACGTGTGGCGCTGCCCTCATAGACACAGACTAATGGCGGCTGATAAAAAAGAAAAAAAAAACGTACCGGATCATGGGTGTTACCGGATTAAAAATGTGTAAGTCTATTTAGTCAATTACTCTCTGCTTGTGTGGAGTGCCATTGTCCTCACCCGAATATGGACTTTACAGTGTGTAATGTGCGAGAGACTGCCAAACTTCCTACTGGGACGGATGCTTATATAACATGTATTACGAATTTTTCCCACGCTTGCAAAACCGGATGCAGGTGTGAGGTCACGTGCTTCTCTATTCGTCAGCAGGCAAGGCATTACATAAGATAAAAAAAACTGTCAGGCGAAGAGACAAGAAAGTAGAAGGATAGCGGCAAGACGCTATAATATGTTCAACTTTGTACATATGTGTTACGACATTCCAGCCGATGCATTATTCGACCTTCGTCAGACGCATGTAAGTTCTGGTTGGCTTTAGAAGATGTTTGGTATTTTTCAAAAAAGCATATATAATTAAATCAACTCCGTATCTGAGTCAGTGGTAATGAGAAATATTTTTGTCGCTAAGGCCGCCCGTCTCGTATAAAGCTGGTTCTCGGAGAAAAAAAAATTGAGACATTTTTATGAAAATACTGGGGTACAAGACTTTGGACCGAGGTGGGTATTTCGTTTGAAAAGCTGAACCAAAATAGAGTTGAATCTATCTGTCTATCTATTTCTAAGGAGACACGTTGGAGAAATGGATAGCGGCTTGGATTGAGGAAGCCGAGTTCGAATGCCAGTCGAATCCATTGCATTCACTTACGTCCCTTGGGAAAGAATTTTTAGTTTTTGTTTATTGTTTTCATGTTTCAGTATAGTTTATACCAACGGCTACCCATACTTAATACTTCTCGTTTTCACTCTCGCGTGGTCATGTGTGACGTCATGAGCTGCGGTGAGATTTTCTCTTCCAGCGTCTTATATCCATGAATTTGACGTTGCTTTGAAATTTTTCATGCAACAAAAACAGACTATCATTATTGTTTCGTCCGTGTATTGTTTGATATATTGAAATGTAATTGTCATCGTTCATAATGGCTTATGTAAGCCGAAAGTTTAGATAGGATTTTAACATGTATCAATATGGTGATTTTCTTTCTTTCGTCTTTCAATGATAATGTTATTAAGCTTATCAGACAATATGAAATAGACAAAACGTGTCTATATCATGTAATGAAACATGCATCAATTAAAAATTGTTGCCTAAATATACGCAATATATATCTATACATATATCTATACATATATAAATAAATATATATATATATATATATATATATATATATATATATATAAACTAGGGGTAGCAGGAAAATTATCTAATTGTTAGATTAAGATCTGAACCGTTGTATCTCAGAAATCATTAAAGATATTTCACTGGAATTCTCCGAGGTTTTTATGACATTATTAGGCTCTACTTTGAGTAATAAGAATATATAATTAATTACTTTTCAAGCATGACAAAAGAAACGTGATGAAATCGATCATAAACGAAAATTACATGTTCATCATTAATTAATCATAGCTAAGGATCAGCTCATGAAGGACTGAAATGAAGTTCAAAATATATATATATATATATATATATATATATATATATATATATATATATATCTTATTCCAGGGTCATTTTACAACTTATTAGAAATGATCGTCACCGTCTAACCTTCTGCACTGGAGTAACAAGGTGACACACAGGTTTGACATACGATTTCATTTTCAAGTTATTTTTTTCACTGCTCTTTGAACTGTCATAGCTAAAAAATACTTCTCTCACGTGCCAAACGTTTCATGGATTGACTTGGATCTTTTCTAATTGATTTCTTTAGCTCTAAATTGAAATGATGATCCCTCTTGCTGTTGTGACCTGATCCAGTCGAATAAAGCTGGTTCTCGGAAAAAAATTGAGATATTTTTATGAAAACTCTGGGTACAAGACCTTGGACCGAGGTGAGTATTTCGTTTGAAAAGTTGGATCAAAATAGAATTGAATCTATCTATCTATCTATCTATCTATCTATCTGGTGTAACAGGAAAATTGCCCAATTGTAAGATTAAGATCTGAACCTTTGTATCTTAAAAATGATTAAAGATATCTTACTGGAATTCACCGAGGTTTTTTTATAACACTATTGGACTCTACTTTGAGAAATAAGAATGTATAATTATTCGCCAAGCTTAACAGAAAAATACATGTGCAGCACTAATCAATCCTAGATAAGGATAGGGCGCTCATGAAGGACTGATATAAAGTTTATATATATATATATATATATATATATATATATATATATTGTAGTGGACAGTTTACGGGCCAGAAAGAAAGACACGGAAGATGAAGGTAGGTTGAAAAAAAAATATATGGAAGATATATACAAAACAATAGTGTTAGTAATAAGTAGATTACCACTGCGTCTACTACTCCACTTCACTTCACCTATCCGACTCTTGCAGTTTGTATTTATGAAAGGAGGAAAAGTTCATTTTATTGTAGGAGGGTTTACACACACACGCACACACACACACACACACACACACACACACACACACACACACACACACACATATATATATATATATATATATATATATATATATATATATATATATATATATATATATATATTATTCCAGGATCATTCTCCAACTTATTCAAGATGATCTTCACCTTCTAACCTTCTGCTCTGGAGTTAAAATGTGCCTCACATGTTTCAAGTACGATTTCATTTTCAAGTCTTTTTAAACTGCTATTTGGACTGTCATAGCTAAAAAAAAAACCCTCCCACATGGTAAACGTCTTATAGATTGAGTTGAATCTTTTCTAATTGATTTCTTTAGCTCTAAGTTGAAATGATGTGCCTCTATTTTAAACTTATTCACCGTTCTCTTGATGATTTTGAATGGACGTTGATGATGGAAGCCAGAGTATGAATGTTCATAACATTACGGGAGGCTTGAATTATATTTTCTTCTCACCATTGCCAAGTTTTGAAGACAGTAGGGCTGGCACAAAACGATTTTAACCTGTTCTCTTTCGAGCGGAATAACTCAAATGGTATTTCAGTAATTCTTACGAAAAACGGCGTCAATATTGCTAATCGTCTCGTCTGAATACCTGTAAAAAAGAAACTCAGTTAGTTTAGTGGCTTTTTAGATATTAAAATTTTTGTGTTACACAGTACTTTCAGCTGTACATACAGCCATCCTCAGGCATAGAAATTAATTTGTTTTAATTTTTTTTTAATAAATCCAGGTAGTAGCGGGTCACGAAAGATTAAATGCGAATCGAAATAAGTTTTTTTTAGAAGGGTGTTATTATTAACGGATAAGAAAGTACTAGCAGAATAAAAAAAAACCTTATACAACTGAAAAACAAGGATCATAACATTCATCGAGTGGTTCGTAGGTTAATGTAACTTTAATAAATTTGTTTGCGAAGATGTTTCTTCGCCAGTTATATCATTAACTTTACTAATTTCCTTTTTTGTATGAATGATTCATGTAATATATATATATATATATATATATATATATATATATATATATATATATATATGTTAGGAAAAGTGAAATATGGAAAAGCCTGGGCCTAGATTAATATTTAGATTTTACTATAGACGTATGCGTAATTTCTATTCTAAAAGTTTACTTTCTCGGACTTCACGCCTGTGCAAATATATTCCGGCTTACCACTTCCTTGCATCCTTCTATCTTCATAAATTTAAATAAAAGGTAATTCGTCATCATCTGTCTTCCTTAACCCTGATTTTTTACTGTCTTTTCTCTTCAGTAATGTTTTGTCTTCACACCTTGTAACCCATTCAGTCGGAAAGATATTATCGACTTTCTTAGGGTGAAATGACTAAACAAAAAATGCCGCTATGATCCACAGCCCAAGCAATGACAGAACCTGAGGTCTCCATAGCTGAAAATAATCAAGATATAAAAGTCAGCAGGAAAAGTCATGGCTCCAGACTTCAAGATGTAAAAGTGTCATCTGTTACAACCAAGTAATTGGTTAAGAAGGCACAAGACCGAGTTTAAGGCTCGGCCAAAAAATCCCCGTAGAACCGCATAAACTGTCTACCTCCCCGGATGAAACTCAGCCCTTCGACACAGCCTTGTCCGGGTTCCTTTCCGTCCAAGGCTGAGAGTTCACTGTTAATATTTAAAAGCCCCCCCCCCACGAGGGATGTATGTGGCACACGGCCGAGTTTACCGTGGGTTCTCCGAGCCCGTAGGCTTGGCCAAAATATTCCCGTTGCACCCGCATAAACTATATCACTGTTCCCCTGAGGCTTACTCATCTGCTAATTTTATAGTCAAGGGAAGAGTCCACAATAGCCGCATTAGAGAGAACACACCACAACAGTTATGAGTAAGAGAAACTGCCAATAGTGAATCCTGGTAGGACTTCTAATTCTCTCAGAATCGCCTCACTGTTTCGGTTGAATAAGACTGAATTAGTAACGGCTACAATCTTAACAATATTAGATATGCAGACGACACAGTGTTGCTAGCAGATACAGAAATGAAACAAGAACTCCTATAGAAGTTAGTGAAAGAAACTGATAAGAAAGGACTAAACATTAATTGCAAGAAGACAGAATACATGTTTGTTAGCAAAAAGAACACCACCAATACACAATTTACAAATTGGAGATATCAAAATCCAACAAGTACAGCGATTTAAATATCTGGGATGTATTTTAACATAGGACAGAAAGTGTGTCACTTAATTCCGAATGCGCAATAGGATAGCGAAAATACCTTTTAGAAAAGTACTAATAAACAGAAAAAAAAATATAGAAAAAAGTACTGAACTGTTACGTAATATCAGTCCTTCTAATTGACAGTGAATGCTGAGACTTGAAGCAATAAAAAAGGTGGTTCTATAAGAGGATGACGAGAAAATAAAAACAAAATGCACACTTCTATTTAATGTCAGGAAGTGACAGTTTAAATTTCTAGGGTGCATAATGAAGAAAGAGTGCTTGGGAAATTCGATACTCACAGGAGAGAATGGAATTAAGACGGACAGAGCAAAACACCTACCAATCGACATTGAGTAAATGGATGACAGGGTTTAGGAGAGATAACAAAAATTAAGAGCTACAAAAGATAGCGAATTCAAGATAGGCAGGATCGCTACCGACCTGAAGGGACACGACGCATGGGAAAAAGAAGAAAGAAGAAGATAGAAGAAAAAAAGAAAAGAAAAAAGAAGGAAAAAAAGAAGAAAAAGCCGAAGAAGAAAGGAAAAAGAATAATAGTAAGAAAAAGAAAGGTGTTACTGTTCACAGTACTTGCAAGACAACAAATGTTCTGAAGAATCCAGAACTTTGTGCATAGACTAACCAACTACCCACCCTTCTCAAGATATGTTACATTATCCATTTCCTGTGTCCAAATCTTAAAGAGATTGGACATTTGGATATGATAACAGCGATAGAGCATTATCTCAATGACCAAATATGAAGAAAAATTCTCAGAGTTAAAGAATCTTCAGAAGCAACGTGCCAAGTGTATGTACCTCTGGGTATAAATATATAGAATGGCATGCGTATGAACGTTCCATTCTTGGACGGATCGAGAAGTTTTCAACATCGTCTTATACACTGTAGACATTTGTCTTCGCCCCGAAACCATTCAAACGTCTCCAATCTTTTTAGCTATATTCAAATATCGGTCTAGCCTGTTGCTTTCAGTGTCGGACTAATACCCTCGGAAAAGGCAAAAATCTATCTATTGTTCTCTAGCCATGGGTTAAATAGCAGGATAGACGGATTTTTCTAGTCTTCGGTGTCAATCAGTTTAACGGAACAAAGACTCTAAATTCTAAGCCGTGGGGAAGGTACAGGAAAGTCGCTCTTGTTTTTTTTTTTCGCATTGAAATAAAAGATGAAAAGCAACCTGTTGAGAGCCATGCACGTCGTGAAGGGAACATGGCATAAAAATGAAGAGTGATTAGCGCCAAACGTTTACGCATTCATCCTCTTTCTCAGTCAAATATTGTGATATGTCGGTAACGAGACCGTTTCTAAAGGTGTCTTTTAATAGGTGAGAGTTTATTGGGAAGTACATTTGTTTTCACTGTGATTAGAACGTTCTCTTTCCCGATCATAAGTCTCTGGTTCGAATATCACCAAGGTCGATTTGTCGGGAAGGTGACTTTTTGAATGTCTGAAAAGCATACCAAGCCTTGCGAGTGAATCTGGGTAGAACGGATCTGTTTGGGAGCCGTCGCTAATTGTGGATCACGCCAGATAATGCGCACTCTCCCAAACATTGTAACTAAGGTTGGGCGGTTGAATTTGTTTAGCAGAATATCGACCATTATGGATCATTTTTGCTGTGTAATGGATATCGGCTCGGAATGAGAAATCTGAGGGTTGAGTTCGAATTCCAGTCGAGGTCGTTAGATCCACTTACGCACAAATACCCTTGGGAAAAGTATCAATCCATCTCTTCTTTGAATAGCAGGGCACAGTGGGTTCTTTAGCCTTGGTCGGCAACAAGTTTACCGCAGAAAGAAATAGCAACCTACTGCGGAAAAAAATCTGCCTCGTCAGTCATATATCGAAAGATACATGATCTCCTAAGCGTGTATCACGTATGGTACTTAACTGACTGACTACAAATAATCTCTGTTATGATTCAAACTTTGTTTCCGTTTTCCAGGATGATAACACTTTTGCCCCGTCGCTATTCATCGGTGTCCATAAAAAGCTGATAACGGTTTTTTTTGTTGTCCGCCCGCCTTTAATTGTAATTGATGGAATGTAGTCTCTTTACCGCTATTAACGTCAAGAATAATTCTCTTTGGTAAACAAAATCTAATCTCCGGTATAGCAACAAACGAACTAGTGTTTATTACAAGAATGCTATAAAATCGAAACATTCAGTCGCCAGAAAGATGCTACCGTCTTGCGTTCATATTTTAGCTGTAAATTACTGAAAGAAAAATTTCGAGAAAATAGTGTTTACTATTTTATGACGTCTTTACTAATGAAGCAACTTAATTTCCCGAAGACAGTCGCATTTCTTTTTTTCTTTTTTTTTCTTTTTGTTTCAAATCTAATTCTGTATCGATTCTTCTAGTTTTCATTATTTTAAGAAGCACAAACAATAATTCTGGAGATTTAAAATGGCTCGCAGAAAGAAAGAACCGCGGTCATTTTTCATTCCTCTATGTTGGAGATAATTAGAGCGAGCAATTAAAATCATAACTAAAATGAGTTGGTCACTTCGATATGGTGTAATGGTTAGCGAGCTGATCAATTACAACTGAATAGTGAATTCGACCTTCACTGAGTACTCCATACATTCGGCCTTGTGTCATATCTAAGCTACACTTAGAAAATCCTTGAGAACACTTCAACGTGGTGTAAGCTTGTCTCGCCGGATCAATTACGATCGAATAGTGAGTTCGATCCACACTGGGTGCTCCCATACATCCAGCCTTGTGCCACATCTAAACAACGCTTAGGAAATCATTAAGAGCACTTTGACGTGGTGTAATGGTTAGCAAGTTTGTCTCGCTAGATTACTTACGACTGAGTAGTGACTTACTTTCAGCCTTGTGCCACACCTAAGCTACACATAACTATAGACGCAAGTATAACAACAACAACAAAAAGACTGATTTCGATAATAAATAAGCCGTGATTGATATGATGTGAAATGCCCCCGCAACCGAATATCTTTTGTGAAAAGATTTTAGAAGCACTTTAAAATCACTCTATTATGGGGATTGACTAGCGTCAAGCTGCCCACTGATGATTTACTTACGATAGTTTAGATGTGGCACAATGACAAAAAGAAGGAAGCACTACTCAATAACTGATCTAGCGAGACAAGCTTGTTAACCATTACACCATGTCGAAGTGCCCTTATGCTTCTATCTATAAGCAATTATTAGAGTCAGGCATTAGTAAATATTTCATTCATATTTAAGTCTATGAGCAATTGCTACGATGTTTGGTAACTACTGGTTATTTATTTCTTTTATTCTATAAGCATATATTTGGTTCGGTAGCAGTAGATAGATTCGTCTATCGTCCAATTCAAACCCCTCTCTGGACTTTTGAACAGGGGTAGAGCCTTATATCCTGTTTCCTGTTTATGGGTGGGTTTCTGGTTTCTTCATCTAAAGTTTTCTCATTTTCTTTCACTCTCAGTGGCATTAGTTGCAGTGAAATGCGTCTTAGTGGCATTACTTGAATTGAAATGTTTTAAACACTAAGTAAATACTTCTGGTTTTATTTTAGCCTATGAACGTTTACTCGTTTTGGAGATACCTAAATATTGTGCGTTTATTTTTGAGTCTATAAGAATTTCTTGGTTCGGGAATAAGTACCCCCTTATGCAAATTAATTGAGACAAAACGAATAATTCCGTTATTTTTTTTTTCGTATTTTATAATAAAACATGGTGCAGTGCACATGTCAGTACTTCGTACGCCCATTCCACGAAGTCGTTCTTTGCAGATTGACAAAAGATTCTCGATTGGATTTAAATCAGGAGAGTTTCTGGGCCAGTCTAGTACACTGATTTGCTCACTGGTAAGGTTTACCAGTGTGTTCGTGCAGCGTTATAATTTTCGTACCTTGGAGTAACGTTCATCGCAGACAATTACAACTAATCGACAGTCGAGACAATAGTGTCTGAACGTGATAAAAATCTGATACAATGACGGATGACGCAATATTTTTCAGGATCAAACAAATTTCATCATACACCCTGGAAATAGATTCATATAACTGGACACCACTGCAAATGAACTAATCTGAGGAGAAAACATAAATCGGTTACCCCTGTCACACCATTGGGTCTAAAACTGACCGTATGTTGAAAGAAATTTAATTAAAGCTGTTGTTTCAATTAATTTGCACAAGGGTGTAGATGTTGGTTTTTATATTTCAGTCTGTAATCATTGATGGGTTTGTGAGCAAGTATTTCTTTTTAATATTTGAGTCTGTAAGTATTTACTTGATAACTGAGTGCGATTGATGATCTCCTTTTTTTCCAGTTCGTAGTGGTTCTATAGAATGATCCTGAGAATACCATGTATCGGACATAGAGATAATGGCAACAAAAAGGACATAATTAACACCAAGAAGAGACAGTTGAAAGTTCTGGGGTGCATAACGAAAAAAGCAAAATTTTTATACTCACAGAGTAAGAGAGCTAAATGAAAGTGATACGCAAACAACCTGGAGAACTTTAGTGAGTTGATAGCGGAGCAGATTTGGGAAAAAATGGCAAAAGTTGTCAAGAGCTACAAAGGAAAGGACATTTTGGAGGGCCATGAACTCCAATGTCCTGTTGGGAAGCAGCATTTTTTAAATCCCCAACCAAAGCAGTAAAGCTATTAGGGCACAAGGGGTTACTGGGTGTGATATAATTAGAAACCAGAAATTGCCTAAGGAACTAGAACAAAACAATCAAAAGGACAGTAGGAAGCGATTAACATTGCATTTCAATTTTTGAAGATCAAATCTGGTTAAGAAACACGGACCCGCTAGATAGTTCCACAAGTAAGAAGTGCGAGAAAAGAAACTGTTCTTATAGAACTTACGGTTATATCTAGCCATTTCAGCTGTATATTAGTGAGACCTAATTGCCAGTCTAGGATCGCGTTTACCTGGCAAAGAGCTGCGTATCTTAGAGAAGAGCGATATTTATTTGTAAAAATACAAAATGTGGCACAAGGTCAAAAAGGGGAATGGGGAAAAGGACGGTCTTCTTCTGCCTTAACGTTAAACTTAGCTAATCACAAACACTGACCCAAACATACCACAATATTCCTAACACCAAAACAACGTATTCTTACTTGCTACATCCACCATAATACCTCATTGTCTCTATGAAAGTCCTAATCTGTCTCCATATGTACAATTGATTGTCGGTGGAGTGTAGAGGGGGAATAAAATAACAATTTAAAAATCTAAACCCAAATAAATATATAAAAAATGAACAAAAACTAGGTATTTACTCTGTCTCTCCACTGACGAGTTGTGACACAAGGTCTTTTTTTAAAGAGGGGACCCGAGCGCGTACACCCGGGCAAGATACAAAAATTACCCGCATCGGTGCGAGCACTGATCCCTCTCTCTGGTGCAATGAGAGGGCGCGGCCTCGGGCAGCTGTTCCCCACGGCTGGACACTTTTCAGTATAATTTTTCTCAGTTGCGAATCTGTTCTTTGACGGAGTATCCCCTGAGTACCCTCTGCCCAAGGATAGATGATAAAGAGATATGTTAGGAACTACCCGAGAGAAGAGTTTACACACGAAATGAACAAAATCTATATACAAGAAATTAAACAAAATAGTATCCTGGCGACGAGCTCACCAGAACAGTTGCCATGGAAATATTTATAGAAAAGGCACAGAGAAGAAACTTAACTACCGTGGGATGGTGACTGAAGCCGAGATGCCAGATCAAGACCAGTATTATTGCTGATTCTTCTTTGGATTCTATCAAGGGGCTCTAGAATTATGGTGGGAGCACCTGATTATATGTGGCAACGATATTCTAAGAATGGACGAATGGCAGACATATATGTTTAAGGTAGATTCTGGAGTTAGAAATTCTCTAGCATGATACATTTTATCAGCTGGCCTAGCAATGGATTGAATGTAGTTTTTCTCTTCGTGTCAGCCTTGAAGATTAGCCCGAGAAGGAGCAACGAGTCACTCTCATCAAGGTTAGCATCAGCCATGCTAGACAGAAATTGGCCTCTCAGATGATTAAGAGAGAGGATTAATTTTGGAGGCGTTAAAATTAACAAGCCACCCATTTCGCCAGTTAACAAGAAACTGAAGCATAATTTAAAAAAAATAGACATTTGTAAATAAAAACGAAGTACATATAACTATTTATGAGGTAGTGAGATCGATTTGACACTGTATTTATGAAGGAGACTCCGATTCTAAAGTGTTACTAATACTTTTCACTTGTCATGTTTTGAGGAGGGTCTAATGGATGCTAATTTTTTAAAAACATTATCTTCATTTTCTACGTGTCAATTTATGTAGTTCCTAATAATCAACAACTTCAGGTTTGGTTTGTTTTGTTTTACGGCATATCTACCTCAATGGGTTATTTAATGCCGACAAGGTTTTTATTACTGGTAATATTTTTTATCTATCTATCTATCTATCTATCTATCTATCTATCTATCTATCTATCTATCTATCTATCTATCTATCTCAGTATATATTGGTTTATTTAATGTCGACAATTTTTTTTTCTGGCAATATTTTTTAAATATATTGCTGATAATATTTTTTTCCTTCAAAAACATATTTCAGGTAATATTTTTCCTTCAAAAATGAATCGCTGGTAATATTTTTTTTCAAAAATGTATTGCTGGAAATAATGTATTGCTGGTAATAATTTTTTACAAATTATTTCTGTTATTAAAACCTATTTTACACTTTCATCGTGTTTTGACCCCTATTTGGGGGTTAACTATTTCCCCATAGCTGGGACCCTAACAGGTGCTGCCACCCCGGCTCAAGGTAGACCTGGGAAAATAAGCAAGTAAGAAGTGGTTCCACACTCCTCAAAACCTCCTGATCAGAGGCTTTGTGGTTTAATGTAGTTTATCGTCTTACCCAGGACGCAGATGTAGTGAATCATAATACCCAGGACGACAGCAAATTTAGCAAATAATAATAAATAACATGGTTGTCCTTTATTTAAAACTGTAGTGACGAATGTTGCATACAGGGTCTTAGCATTGAATATAATATATTTATTTTTGGAATTCTAACTTGAAAATATATAAAGTGTTTAAAAAACCTTTTGAACGTAACTATCACGCGAGGTTTGATCAAAAAGTATCGGGACCGTTGCTTATAAAAAGAAAATTATAAAACCTGTCAATTCGGCATTTAATCTCCTTCGATGTAATCCCCTTCTTAAGCCGCGAACTTTTCCAGCGAGGTTTCCATTGAAGAAGCATTTCCTGGAACTTATTCCTTTCAAGTGAGATTTTTGTGTAGAGAAAAAAAAATGAAAGGGGACGCGATTTGAAGAATATGGTGATTATCGGATATGGAGAATCTTGTACTTAGCCAAAAACTGCTGCACAAGCCCTGGTCACGGATGCAACCTCTGTAGTGTGGTGAGACAAAACACACTCTAGACTTTTATTGCAACCATTGCTATAAACAGAGGAAGTGAGCAAAAAACATTATAGGTTCGTGCGCATGCGCGACAGTGTTCAATGTCAATCCGTGTCAAGAAACTTCACTCTGTGTACTTTAGCTCTGTTACTATAGCAACCGACCCGATGCTTTTTGATCAGACCTCATATGTAGAGAAGGTTTGCATAATTGCTAATTGGGAATTTCTTCCTGATAGTGTTGATCCTGAACGTTGATTTTCAAAGAAGAATTCTTCATAAATGTTAGAAGACTTTACAATATTCAGTACACATGTGCCAGACAAAGTAAAGTTTGTAGACTTTTCCTCTGTTTACGGTGATTTACTCAATTTTTCTTTCTCTTGCCTTTGTTCGCTGTGGTTTTCTTAAGCTACAATATTAATATGTCCGTTTTGTTAGCAGTATCCCCACCCACATAAAGTATTGAAATAGTTTTAAAATATAGGGAGTAAAAAAAAAGCGGACTGGCACCAGGAAATGGAATTTCTAAAATTTAAAATGAATTTAAAAAATAAAGAAAGAAACATGGACGCTAACTGGTCGCTGAAGAATTCTTTGGAAGTCTTTTAGCCGAAGACAACGCAACATACAGACTAACTGCATCCGTTTGTTATCTATTATTTCGTATAGGCTATACTTGATATTTTTTTTTGCGGCAATGCTGAAAGACGAGTTTGTGTTGCCCTGGGAACAGCAGACGATTGGTTTAGAAGTGAATTATGAGTCTGACGTTGGCAAGGAAAAATCGCAGTAAATAAGCGAAAAATATACGCCATTCAGTGTCCCTTATCGGCTGAGATGGCTATTCGATCAGGTCTAGAGGCAAGAAATTAGTCTCAGAATACAATATAATTACATATATATATATATATATATATATATAAAACATGTTTTCACATGCACACACATATATATGTCTGTGTAGGTGTGTGTAAAAACATGTTTTGTTTTGTTAAATTCATCCGACAAAGTCTGTTTAATTTTTTTTGTATTTTTCCCAATTTTTAGAAATTCTAGAAGCTTTTATTATGCAAAAAACAACCCCCCCAACAAAAAAAAAACAAAAACACAAGAAACAACGAACCGAAATTAAATAAAATATCGTTCCCCACAGGAAACGGTATCTTAAAGTGCAAATAAAATATTTAATGCATATGAACTAATAATAATAATAATAATAATAATAATAATAATAATAATAACAAAAAAGCAAATGCAACCGACCAGGTATAGAAACAATGGTTTTATCCTTGCTTCACAGGACCAATGCGTGTTAACTAGAACTTATCAAGCGCATATACTAAAATATTGTGACCAAAATGCAGATTCTGTGATAAATATCCAGAAACAATTAATCATCTTGTATCAGGCTGCACGATATTGGCACCCACTGAATATAAAACCCGGCATGACAGAGTGGGCCAACATCTGCACTGGAAAATATGCAACTTCTACGGGAATGAAACTGAAAGAAACTGGTATGAACACCACCCAGACCCGGTTACGGAGATAGGACCTGTTACAATTCTATAGGACTACACAATACACACTGACAGAACAATCAAAGCCAACCGCCAGATATTGTTATTAAAGACCACAAACAAAAAAAGTGCCTCCTTATTGATATGGCAGTCCCTGAAGACTGCAATATATCTTTGATATTTGATATTTAAAAAGCTGTCAAAATACAAGGACCTTGAAATCGGAATCTCAGAAATGTGGCACATGGGAACAGCAACAATCCCTTTTGTAGTTGGAGCCCTAGGATTGACTGGAAAAGGTTCCAGTAGACTAATTGAAGGGATTCCTGGATGCCCATGCCTTAAAGAAATACAAAAAAAATCTTTCTCACGAGTACAGCCCACACCTTACGAAGGACTTTATCTATTTAAAATATTTTCTTTGTCTATGTGTGTGTGGGTGGAAAATGTCATGATGCCATTTCTAACCTAAGGTCTTTGGGCGGGACCCGGAACGAATACACACCAGAAATCAATGGAAATAAAATAATAATAATGTGCTTTTCGATCTCGCTCAGAGTTACTGTTTTGAATATGACGTCACGTTGGACTAATTGCATCCCAGCGATCAAAAAATAAATAAATAAAAAATAAATAAATGAATAAATAAAAAATATAAATAAATAGAAGGATGTAGAAAAGAAAATCACACGAATGACACACGGTTTTTGATAATGACTGAAACAGCCGAAATTGCTTGAACAAAAACATGAATTTTAGAGTGTTTATTCACAATTTCTTCGAAAATTAGAAAAATAAAATAAAAGCATTAGCAGATCGACCGTTTCAGTTGAATTTAATAAAATTGTTTGAATTAATTCTTGTTGCTTAGATTTGTCTCATCTCCTCACTCTTGGGTTTAATATCAAAAGATGAATAGGAAACAAGAGTTCAGAATTTCAGTTTTTATTTCCTGCTATTTTCATTTAGATGTGTTAAAAAGCTTAGGAGATACCGCCATTTGTATCGCAGCATCCTATTTTTTGGTGAGTAAAATTAAGATAGTCTTAAAGTAAATAATATTTAATATTTAGTTGAATAACCGTTGCTTGCAATAAATGCATCAGCCATTGATGCCATTAAAGTGTTACATTCTTCATTTGGAATGCTTTTCCAGACGTGGCCTCTATCAGTTTTTGTTTCTTCCATGGGGTTTCTTCATCTAGTTTCCACTCCAGGAGGTGAAATGTATGCCCTGTTGGAGTGATCTGATACAAATCGTGGCATGTCCTAAGATTTATTTAACACACCTACATGTAAATACCGGGAAATAAAAGCTGAAATTCTGAACACTTATCTCATATTCACCTTTTGATTTCAAACCCAAATGTCTCCAGCGAACAACAGCAATTTGCCTTACCTTTCCAGTACTTTTAGAGGGGACTGTGTGTGTGCGTATCGAATGCGCAGGCTGACAGACGTAATAGACACTGTTTAAATAATAAAAATGGGACGTCTATTTCAAATACGGAGTATTCCCTATAATAACGTTTGAAATAATAATATATACAGCATGTCCATAAAGTTCGTGTGCACTTTAAAAAATTTATAACTTTATTTGTATTTGCGATAGAAATAATTTATTAAAAGGATTAGAAAGAAGTAAATCTATATTTTTAAAGGTTTTATTGAAATTTTATCTAAGTTTCCACATGTCCTCCATCATTAGCAATACAAAGGGTAATATAATTTTGCAGTTCACGGATAACATTTGCCCACTGATTTACAGTAATGCCTGAAATAACATTAGTTATTTTAGCAATACTTAAAACTAGGTACATTAAACTTTACGTTGCTTTAAATATTTTTTACAGATTATTTCTACCGCATATACAAATAAAGTTATAAATTTTTAAAGTGCACACGAACTTTATGGACACTCTTTATATATATATATATATATATATATATTAAAAAAGTCAATCACAATATATATATATATATATATATGCTGAGCATATAATAAATAGCAGGAAATGTGTGGTTGATTTTAGTGCGGACAGTTTTCTGATTTTATTTAGGTCCCACTTCACATTTCACCTCGAGGTTCTAGAGTCCTTCTATATCAGATCCCGTGGGCCTTCCATTTGTAAACAGAGGGAATGCTTACTGGGTCTGAAAATTATAAATTTTAAAAAGTGCACACGAACTTTATGGACACTCTTTTATATATATATATATATATATATATATATATATATATATATATATATATATATATATATATATATATATATATATATATATAAAAGTCAATCACAATATATATATTCAGATCCTTGTATATCAGATCCCGTGGGCCTTCCCTTACTGGGTCTGAATATTATTGAAATCTAGTTTCTTGAAATTTATTTTTTTCCCATTAAATTCGTTTTAATATTGTATTTACACGCTTTTACATTTTTTTTTATCCCAGAAAAATAAACTTGATAAGTCCTGGGACGGAATCGGTTGTTCATTTTAGCTTTTTAAAAAAATACCTTATACATTTTGCCTTTTCCTAGCTATCGTGAAATTTTGTACGACAAAAAAATAGCCACGTTCCCGAAGGGAAGATAACGCTGAAATTTTAAACTTATTTTAGTTTAAATTCCATTAAGTCTTAAAGGACGATACGTGACAGAAAACAAATTCTTAACATTAGACAAATTTTAGATGAAACCACCAAAATTTTATACAGGACAAAGAAAGAATTTAAATTTATTGAATAAAGTCTCTTCTATGAGGAACCGTATATTGAAGTGTGCTTAAAACACACAAACACGCACGTAACCACAGACACACACACACACACACATAGGAAAATTCCTGTTTGATCCTTTATATGACGTCATCTTGAGTGAAATTCCCTCAAAAGTTTGAAATTTATTCTATCAAACCATCAAAAGCGAGATCGTAATAATTAAAAACGAGTTGCGTCAATACAGACAGAACAATCCTTGAAAACGAATGGAGTATCATTCGAAAGTACCTAGGAAGAAAAAAATAATATAAAATAAAACTTAATATGAATATTGACAACTTATTCGGATGAAGATGTACCTCTGTGATGTGACAAATGGACGACATTTGAGTAACATCATAATCTATAATTAGACCAATACATATTCCAAGTAATATATTTTCATGTCATATCCCAGAAACATTATTTCTTCATCATAAATATGAACATTTTTCAATTATTCAAGTGTAGTGCTACATTTGAGCCACCTAACACACACAGACACACACACAGACACACAGAGACACACATCTATATTTATATATCTATATATGGAGAGAGAGAGAGAGAGAGAGAGAGATAGACAGCAGACAGGGGAGACTGACAGCAGACAGGGGAGAGTGTCTTATCACTGCTACAGTATATATCTGAATTATATACATATATATATATATATATATTTAGATGCATATATATATGTATATATTTATATGCATATCTATCTATCTATCTATCTATCTATCTCTCTCTCTCTCTCTATATATATATATATATATATATATATATATATATATATATATATATATGTATAATTTTGTTTAATGTATATAGAGTAGCAATGATAATATTTGCCAGCGTCATTTAACCCAATGTCTAGTGCGGAAATTAAACCTAAATTTAGCGTTTTTTCTATTTCTTCTTTTGTAATGACCCGATTCCACTTTGGAAGGTGGGGAGCAATAAATGAACAATAAAAGGCACAGAACAACCTCTCATCATTTCAGAAAAAAAAATACTTCAAAAAGCTTCTTCTGAAAAATCTTATTAATTTCTACTGAATTCTCAATCTATTAACTTTCACTTGAAGTTGAGCTTTGAAGAATAAAAAAAAAAAAAAACAGACGCTC